GCTAGACCCTTTCTCAAACCTCCCTGCCAAAAAGCAAAATCTTATTTGGACTCAAAGATCTCATAGTGTGGTCTACGGACCTCTGAAGGCCTCAAGGCTCTTTTAGGGGATCTATGAGGTCAAAACTATTCTAAAATACTAGGGGCTGTAACTATTATGGTTTAGATCTAAAATGTCCCCCCAAAATCTCTTGTGGAGGGGAGGTGACGGATCACGGGGGTGCTACACTCAACAGTGAACTCCATGGGTGAGCTCACCACTGACTGTGCTGCTAAGAGGCAGGGCCTGGCTGGCGGCTTTCCCGGGCTGACCCGGGAGGCTGTGCACTGGGTCCTGGTTACGCCCTCCCCTCTCTGTTTCTTGGGGTCCTAGGGCTGAGCACCTTTTCCTTCACCACAACCATCTCCGTCCTGTTTCTGACTGGCAGCCAGCCGCCCATGGCCCGAAACTGAGGCAACAGAAACCTCTCCTCCTTTAACTTATGGGTGGCAGGTCTTTTGTCCCAGCAAGAGGAAAGTGCCTAAGAGAGCATCTCTGTGTTGAGCATATGCTCAACACGCACAAGGCCCTAAATTTTTTTTTTTTTTTCCTTTTGGAGACAGAGTCTCGCTATGCAGTTCAGGCTGGCCTTGAGCTCACTTTGTAGCCCAGGCTGGTGTCGAACTTGCGACAATCCTCCTGCCTCAGCCTCCCAATCCTCGTGCCTCAGCCTCCCAATCCTCCTGCCTCAGCCTCCCAATCCTCCTGCCTCAGCCTCCCGAGTGCTGGGATTACAGGCATGCACCACCACGCCTGGCTTACAAGGTCCTAGATTTAATCCTTATCAAATCATCATCATAATAATGACAACACACACAGAACATTATTTGCCTTTTTCAACGACATCCACACTGATGGTGTAAAAATAATGGTGGGTGAAACTGCTGTTTTCTTAGCATGAATTACTTCAGTGGCATCAACCGTATTAATATATTTTCCACTACACATTCAGAGGGTTTTTTTAAATTGTATATAAGTATTCTGTACAACACGAGCTTTATTTTATTTATTTTTTAGTGGTGCTGGGGATCAAACCCTGGGCCTTGTGCATGCCAAGCATGTGCTCTACCACTGAGCCACATCCCCAGCCCCACATTCAGAGTTTTAAAAGATCAGTTTTATTCATCCCTGATGAAGCAGCAAAAACACCAAATGATTAAATTTCTTCCCCTAAGTGCACCTCCTCTGAATACTCCGTGTGGTGAACTTGGTCCTACGCACGAAGCTCTTGCCTGTACACCTAAGTACACGTGAGCTGTCTGAATTGTAAGTGAGCTCAACTAGTCGTGGTCCAAGGAGCTCCACTTTTACTTTAAAGAACATTTGACAGACAAATTATGGTGATTCAGACTCAGCTATGTAGCAAACATTTTCTCAAAAAAGAACTTCAAGGAAAATAATTGTTAGTATTTTCTACTAACAATAAAATTCAAACTTTCAGGTGAAAAGAAGAATTTTGGAGAATGTTTATCTGCCCATATGAGCTTGACAGTTTCCTAGGGCTTTAAAGATTTTTCATTACTGTGTAATGAAATGGGTATCACTCAACAAAGGACTATTTTCTAAAAGGACACTGTTGCAAAATTGTTTAACATGGGTTAAAGATGCAAGCAAAATGCAATAAAGAGCAAAAGATTTTAATGCTAACAGATATAAAATGTTCGCTGATAAGGTTTCAGATTCCATATTGCAACGAACCTCTAAGAAACTATGACTTGTCAAGTTTTAGAGCAGTATGAAAGAGCCACAGTTATCTGTAAAGGCTAACTTCTGCCTCACTTTTCTAACCACGTATGTGTGAGTCTTTGTGTGTAAGGAATGGGGATTGAACCCAGGGCCTCGTATGTGCTAGGGAAATGCTCTGCCACTAAGATTTACTCCCAGTAACACTGTGTACACATATATATGCATTTTTTTCCCAGTCTAAACAATGCATTGCAGACACAGACTGAAATGTAGACACAGATATGAAAACCTAGCTTTCTTCTATTAAATAGTTACAAAAATGTAAAGCTATGCCTATTCACTGCATTCTTTTGGTTTGAATGATACAGTGATGTTTATAAGAAATACATTATTTATAAAAACAAGAAATTATTTTATTACTATTATTTTTTAAAGGAATTAAGAGGTGCTGGGCATGTTAGCACACATCTGTATTCCCAGTACTTGAGAGGCTGAGGCAGGAGGATCATTACAAGTTCAAGGCCAGACTGGGCTACATAGTGAGTTCATGACTAACCTGAAATACCGAGCAAGACCTTATCTCAAAAAAAAAAAAAAAAAGAATTAAGAGATTAAATTTCCTAGCTTTAATATTTAATATGGTAAATATTGATAGCTATAACCCATAAAAACAAAAGCTCTCCGAGTTCTCATAATTTTTATAAATTTAAAGAGATTATAAGACAAAAAGTTTGAGGACTACTACCTTAGATCATTGAAAAGTTATCTACCACACCCATTGTAAGTAAATCTACAATACTGTGGAGGCATTTAGAGCGGAGTGAAGGGTCCATACACCTATCAAGTGCAACCTGGCAGAAATGTTGTGAGATGCTCTACCACACCATCTAAGGTTAAGGAGGAACACACCCCTGGTTTTTAAGGAAGGGTCACTACTATGCCCTTTAAGCATATGCTAGGTACCTATGGAAAAAATCTGGCACAGGACACATAAATCGATTCTGTACCATTTTACACTATTTTCCTTTCGTCCTCCTCAAAATTTAGTTCCAAATGAATTACAAGAGATAATTGAGATTATCAATTCAATGGAAAGCTTCTAAGAGATCCTATAGGAAGGCAATTAAAGTTTGATGACCTGCCTAGAGCTTCCTGAGAGGATTTATGATTCAGTGTGATCCCTGCACTACCTTTCCCTAAATAAAAACCACACAAAAGCAAATTTCCAACTCTAGGTGGGTGTCTCTGCTCAGCACAGCCCCTGAGTCGATGCAGACATTCACACTGGAACCGGCTCTAGGCCAGCCTCAGAGATGGTGTGGATGGACTGCAGGCTGGGAACCTCCAGGAAGGGCCGAGGTATAGTAATAACAAAAATTAAAAATAGCAAACGTTTTCATGTTTTGGTGATGTTAGTATGTGCTGAACATGGTTGTAAGCATTTTATATCCGTTACTTTAGTCTTAATAATCCTAAAATGTTGGTCACATTTCAATCCCCACATTGCCCTCGTATTTACGCCTGCCTTATGTCCCATCTGAACCTCCCACCCCAGAAGCCATCCTTCCTGCCTCCTATTATCCAAGAAAATATAAAAGACCAATTCCACAGAAACTGGGTTGTTTCTAACAATAGTCACTTCCAAGTAACTTAATCATTTTCAGACTAAAAATCTGATACTTTTTCCTGTAACAAATTCCTCTTTTGACAAACATACTAGCCTACTGTTAAAAAAAAAAAAAAAGGAAGAAAGAATAGACACACTCTTTAAAATAGTAAGATCTGGCCCCCGACACATGGGGAGCCACGGGCGGGGAGCGCGGGTCTTCGGACCGGCGGCTCACTCCCTGCCTCGTAGGCCCCCAGAAGGAGGGCTTCTGGTGCACAGGGAGCCATGGGCAGGGAGCGTCGGTCTTCTGGCTGGCTAGCTTCCTGCCTCATAGGCCCCTGGAGGGAGGGCCCCCAGCGCACGGGGAGCCATGCGGCAGCGAGCGCTGTTGTGCACTTCCGCTCAATTGAGATCTATCATGACACAGAGAAAAAATGACACAATTGGTCCACCATGCACCAACTGCAGATGCCCACCCACGGACATGTGTGAATCATTCAAACTTTGAACAACCCCTGGGAATATATGCCATACAATGGGCCACTCTTGCTCCTGCCATTGAGAACCAGAAAGGTCCAGAGCCAGCGGAGGAACAGCTGCTGAACAAGGACTCAGAGAACATGAGAATGCAGACTAAGCCCATGGAGTCAGAGGTCCTGTGGACTGGGGTCACAAGAGCCACTTGGAAGCTATAAACCAGGAGGACCTTGCACAATACCTGCAGAGACTCCCTGGAAGCCATTCTTCCCCTGACAGTACAGGCTGTGGTGGAGCTCCAGCAAAGTCTGCAGCAGGATTCCTTCTGCCTGTGCTGACAGCTGGGGAGAGGACACTAACTGGTTGTGGGGTCCCAACGCAATGGGAAGCTAGAGAGAAAACGCTACCAAAAATGGCTTTCGCCCCAGACAGCTCAATTGATTTTTGACAACCCTTAGGCTGTAACTACTTGTTAGATCCTTCTGGAGTATCTCTGTCTTCCTGAGAAACCACTTTGAAGATATCACCATGTATTACAGCAGTCACTGATATTTTCCTACTAATCTATCCATAACTCTGTAATGTTTGTATTGTTCCTATCCTATTTCATAAATGAATCCATGTTTATTATTATGTGTTTCCTACAACAACCATTGAGAATTATTGAATGATTATTCAGTAGGTCACTCATGTATAGTTCTATTTATATTCTTTAGAAGCCACTTTGACGATACCTAAGTATAGTACAACAACTATTGATAATCTCCTACCTCTTTTGTCTGTAACTCACTATTATTTGTCTATTTGTTTTCCTGAGAAACTATCTTGTAGATAACAATATGTAAAACAATAACCATTGATAATTTCCTACCACTTTGTCTGTAATTTGGTAAGCCCCCCCCTATTATTATGTTATCCTTCTTTTACTCTTTAAAATAAAAAAAATTTAAAAATAAAATAAAATAAAATAAAAAAAATAAAATAGTAAGATCTTTAAAAAAAATAAACTAGGGGCTGGGGATTTAGGTCAGCAGCACAGCGCCTGCCTGGCAAGCACAAGGTCGTGAGTTTGATTCCCAGTACCGGAAAAAAAATAAATAGTAAGGTCTTAAAGAAGAGGCATCAAAATGAACTCCAGGATACTTTTAAGTCCCTCTCAACTGCAGCAAAGAGGCACCCGGAAATGCACCTGTTGGAGCCATCTTTCATGTGGACTTTGGCGTAGAGCACATCCACCATCCCGGGGTCGTCGTTCATGTACTCTATCCCGGCCATCTCCACTTCCAGGGGTGTGCCCCTTGTAATGTCACTGCAAAAGAAAAAACATTAGACTCCTAAAACTGTTTAAGCTAAGAAACATGGTTAATATCAACAAAGCTGTGGATTTTTTCTGATAACATTCTCTAATAGTCCTCCTACTCGCAAAATTAATAAATGTCGGGGCTGGGGATTTAGCTCAGCGGCACAGTGCTTGCCTGGCAAGCATGAGGTCATGAGTTCGATTCCTGGTACCGGAAAAAAAAAATTTTAATAAATGTCCAATGTATAAAGCTGAAAAACACAGCAAAGTCTTCCAGTGTCACACTATTACTTACCCCTATCTATTTATTAGCACACTCTGAGAGAAAAAGCTGTGGGATGAGAATTGTGATTGGCAAAGACACTGTCTGTGTTGGCCCATCGCTCAGAGGCCGACGTCTCTTCATTATTTCCACAAGTTACACACCACATTTCACTCTTAACAAGGTAGCCGTGTACACTGGTTATGGCATCTTTAGAAGCAATCCGGCAATAGTTATAAAAACCTTCAAAAAGGGGCAGAGAGAAGGGAGACGCGATGTGACACGCACCAACCCCCTCAAGGAATGTACTCATCATGTACTACAGACGTCCACTCATGAAAATAAAAACATCTGCATAAGAGTTCTGTTCTAGGAGCCCATTCTAGGGAAACAGTTATGAATTCAACTACAGTACATGCCCCCAAAGCCTTGCGCATGCATAGGTGGATCTCTGGGGAAGTGCTGAGAGGGGAAGCCTGGAGGGAGGAGGTGGGTCACTGGGGCCTGGAAGGATGTAACTTCCTTCCTTCTCCCTTGATCTCTAGCTGCTGCCTGCCTGCCCTACCCTGCCCTGCCTTGAGCAAGCCTCCCCTGCCCTGCCCCTCTGCCGTGCCGCCCTGCCTTGGAGCCAGCCAGCTATGAACTGAAACCTCTACAAACCATAAACCAAAATCAACCTCTCCTTTAATTTGTGGGTATCAGGTATTGTGTCTCCGCAACAAGAAAGTAACCAAGACAATAACCAGTCATCACTGTTTTGTTTTATTTTGTTTTGTTTAGTGCTGGGACTCGAACTCAGGACCTTGCGCTTGCCAGGAAGGCACCTATGCCACTGAGCTATATCCCTGGCCATAACCAATCATCACTGAAGAAACAACATTCTTGACTGGGTGGTGGAGTGTGTTTTGAAACAGGGTCTCACCACGTAGTCCAGATTGACCTTGAACTTACTATGTGGCCCTGGCTGGGCTTGAATTTGTGATCCTTCTGCCTCCCAAATGCTGGGATTCCAGGTGTGTGTCACCTGGCTCTGACTCTGTTGTTTTTATTTATTCTTTGTCTTTTTGTGACAGGGTCTCACTATGCAGTTTAGGCTGGCCTTAAACTCACTGTGTACCCCAGGCTGGACTTGAACTCTTGGATCCTCCTGAGTGCTGGGATTACAGGTGTGCACCACCATGCCCAGCTTCTGGCTGTGTTCTTTACATTAAAATTTACTTTAAAATTTTTTTTCATGGGCTTAGAACACAAAAGGATTATCTTCTAAAAAACGGTTATACTGCTGTTTATCAGATAAGAACAACAGTAAACCAGTGTGGTTTTTTTTAGAATTTAGTTTAGGTAGTATCCTGGTGACAGAAAACACCAAATTTTAATACTACAGCACAGTAATTATCTTACCTTGGTTTTCAGGTAAAATTTTCTCTCCACCCCCTCCTTATACTTTCTGACAACCCCCTTATTTATTTACTTACTGACTTGTTTGTTTGTTGCTCTGGATCCAACCCAGGGCCTCAGGCGTGCCAAGCAAGCGCTCTACCACAGAGCCACTACACTCCCAGCCCCCTCACTTTAACATTTCTTTTGTATGTGTGTCTTTGCTATAATCTTAAATCTGTAGGTTTAAGGATGCAACAACAAGAAAAAAAGAAACAAGGTAAGGGGACCCAAAGGCTACTCTGTGAGTGGAAACAAAGATTCTCACAACCCACCCTAAGACTCATCAAAAAGGGTGGTGAAGAGGAACCCAGTCTGTCTGCCTGCTGAATGCTCTTTGCCTTGGTGGCCCAACGATGCCACCTTCCAACTGAGTGGCTCCTGAGACAGCGATTAGGATGAACACTTGCCCAGGGCTATTTTCTCACCTCTGCTCTCCTCTCTTTGTCCCTTTTAAGTCTGTCTGGGTGGGCCCAGGCCCACAGGAGTGCTCAGGCACAGGCAGGGTGACACGAGCTAGAGAAGCGCAGTGTGTTTGTTGCTGCTCCACATCCCAAGCCACGGCGCTGCCTCTGTCCTATATCTCATAGAGAAGTCACAAGGGACACATTCAGAGCTTCAGCATTTGCTAAACACTGAATAATTCATTCAAAATCTATAGAGCTTCAGAAGCCTGCAGCCTAAGAACTGAAATGAGAACCCTGCTCCCAGCTGGGAAGATAGCACCCTCTCAGGCAAAAAGGACCCCAAAATTTAAAACATACTCAACTACCCATTTCTTTTAAGTATCTATGTAGCACTGCAGATTTAAGCAAATTCCAACATAATACAGTTATTTTACACTAATGAGTTAGCACTGCTGAGGCTTGAGCCCAGCCTCCTGCACTAGGCAAGTGCTCTCGCAACCAAGTTACAGCCCCAGCCCCAGCCCCATGTTTATTTTAACACATGGCTTTAAAACGACCTCAGATTAAGGTTCTGCACACTGCAGATGGGCCAATTTATTCTCAGTGTTTTCCTTTTCATGTTTTAATTTAGAATTTTTGCATCCTAAAGGGTTCAGGTTAGAAATACCATTATGTACTGACATTCTTTCTCCTACTGTACCAAGAGCAAAGGTTGAGATCAAAGAGCAAGAATAAGCAAAGAAGTTAGATTTACCCCCCAGGGCTTTAATAAAAGTATTCCGTGGGTTCCCCCCTTCTCTCCCCCTTCCTTCCCCTCCTTTTTTTCCCCCAGAAATCTCTTCCACTAAGAGAAATAAGCCTTCTCCAACCAATCCAAATAACCAATTCTGATTCTCATCCTCCTTCTCAGAAGTAAGTTAATTTTGCACTACATGGGGAGGGGGTGTCAAACCCAGGGCCTTCATGCTGAGCTACTGTATATCTCAGTCCCCCACCCCTTTTGAACACACGGTCTTGCTAAATTGCCTGAGCTGGGCTACATCCTCCTGCCTCAGCCTTTCAGAGTGCTGGGATTATGGGCATGCATCACCTGGCTGCACTATACACTTTATAAACAAGCGCCTGTGGCAGGGGAAGGTACTCGAGCTGGGGAGGCTTGCTTTATTTCACTTACTGATTTTGTCTTTCCAGCTTTCTGAAAAGAGCATCTTCAAACAAATTTTTGCATGCACTGCAGATTTTTTGGCAGGGTAACTTTGTCCTATTTCAAAAGCTTTGCTGAATTTGAAAAACTACAATTACTGTTTTCATCCTGTCATGTCAAAAATGCTCAGGAACTATTAAGACTGTTCGTTATTCCCTATGCACTCAACTCTGACATGCTTAAGGGCTCAGACTTGGCGTTTAGTCACAAAAGGCACCAAGAGATACAAAAGGAAAAACTCAGCTAAATCTTCACATAGCTCAGGATAAAGCTCCAGTGATTAAGAACCTGTGACCTGATTTTCATAAGGTAAGAACAAATACCTCTTTACACAAATATTTTATCTACTTTCAAACTGTAGCAGGATTATCCTAAAGGCAGCCAAGAAAATGCAGCTGCTTTCAATTTAGCAAAAAGTGAACTGGAAATATATTAAAGGATCAGAACTCTTTAACCAGGTAAAATTATCCTGCTTTATAAGATAAAGAATAAAGTTTTATTTCATAACAGGAAAACTGCAAATTTCTAATGATGTGCACCAAATGCTTTTGAACCTTAGGTAAGACCAAGAGAGAAGAGGCACACCCATCACTGAGCAAACGGCAAGGAAGCTTCTGCTTTCTCACATCAGAAGGGACAAGCAGACTGCACAACCCAAACAGCTTACGATTTTGCTCAAGAAAAATACCATTTCTTTGAAACAATTAGTGAAAAAGTATAACTGGCCCCAGAATAAGTCATTGTATTACACTGTTTCATGTACAGTACAACTAGAGAAAAAATTTGCCTTGTCCTACCCAGTAAGAAATTAACTGCTGGGTGTGGCAGTGCATGCCTGTCCTCCCAGTACTGGGGAAGCCAACGCAGGAGGACTGCTGTGAGTTCAAGGCTAGCCAGGGTTATATGATAAAGGTTTTGAAGCCAACGCAGGAGGACTGCTGTGAGTTCAAGGCCAGCCTGAACTACAGAGAGAAACCCTGTCTCAAAAAAAAAAAAAAAATCCATTGTTACATTAGTGTAGGTCCTGCACTTTTTTTCTTTTTTTTTGAGACAAGGTCTCTCTGTATAGTCACTATGTAGCCCAGGCAGGCCTTGAACTCACAGTGATCCTCCTGCCTCAGTGTCCCGAGTGCTGGGATTACAGGCAAGCAGCCACAAAGCCCAGTTACAGCACCTTGATTTTAGCCCAGTGAAATCCATGTAAGTCTTCCGACCCACAGATAATAAATCTGTGTTGTTTAAACCACTAAGTGTAGTAATGTATTATTTTGGAGAAAATGATGAGCTGTTCTATTTAAGAACAAAATATACCTAGTGAATAAATGCAATTTAGGCAGAGTCCCTACAAATTTGTAAATCTATGCTTCAAAACCATTTTCAACCTTCAGAAAATGGTCCACTGTTAAGTGCTACAAATGGGTGAGTGAACAAACCTTGCTCATGTCATGCAGCTTCCTGCTCCAAAACTAAGTCTATCAAAAAGAAGCAGGCTGAGTGGCCCCCCTTGCCCACCCTGCATTTACTCCTCCCCTGCAGCTCACTCACTTAATGAATTCCTCTTTACAGCGCTGGAGCAGCTCACAAGTCTGCTGGATCTCTTGCTCACTCAGAAGCACCAACATCCCAATCGTAAGGTGAAGCTTTTTGGGATTTTGGAAAACAGAGCTGTCGACTCCACGGTCCTGTTATCAAAGGGAGAGAAATAAGAAACTCATCCCATACAAAAGTAATGGCAAGAGCCAGGCATGGTGGCATAAGCCTGAAATCCCAGCACCTAGAAGGCTGAGGCAAGAGGACTGCCATGAGGCCAGCCTGCAGTACATAGTGAGACCCTGTCTCAAAAAGATAAACAAAAAACAAACAAAACAAGAATAAATTCTGCCAAGGGGCTGGGGATTTAGCTCAGCGGCAAAAGCGCCTGCCTGGCAAGCGCAAGGTCGTGGGTTCGGTTCCCGGTACCGGAGAAAAACCAAAAAAAAAAAAAAAGTGTTTAAAGAATAAATTCTGCCAAAGAAGATGAGTGAAAAATGTGGAGCCACTCAGACAGTGGAGCTGCCACATCCACCATGGTCATCCTCCTCCGGAATGATGCACTTTAATACCTTTGTCTCAGGGAAACATGAAAGTAAATACTGTATAACTCATGAGTCCTTTTTCTTATAACTGAAGTGAAGTTCATTTAACCTACAATTTACTGCTTTAAAGTATACAGTTCAAGCCAGGTGTGGTGGTGCACACCTGTAATCCCAGCTCTTGGGAGGCTGAGGCAGGAGGATCCTTGAGAGTTCAAGACCAGCCTGGGCTACAAAGTGAGCTCAAGGCCAGCCTGAACTGCACAGTGAGACCCTGTCTCAAAAAATAAATAAAGTATACAGTTCAGTGATATTTAGCATATTCACAATGTTGTAAGGTTCCAGCTCTTGTTGGATTCAAAACCTTTTAATCACTCCATAAAAACACTCCATAGCCACTGCATAAATAATCATTCCCCATCCCTTGGTAATGTCTAATTTGCTTCCTGAATCTTTGAATCTGCCTATTCTGGACAGAGCATATAAAAGGAATCATATCCATAATATAGGACCTCTATAACTGGTTCCTTTCACTTAGCATAACTTTTGTTTTGTTTTGTTTGTTTGTTTGTTTTTTGAGACAGAGTCTCATTGTGTAGTTCAGGCTGGTCTTGGACTCACTATGTAGCCTCGGCTGGCCTTGAACTTGTACTGATCCTCCTGTCTTAGCCTCCCAAGTGCACCACCATGCCCAACAGCATAATGTTTTCCAAGTTGATCCAAGTTGGATGTACGTACATAGGTTGACCAAAATTATGGTGTATTTAAATTTTTAAAATTTTATCATAGTAAAAGACACACTTGCAAAAAAAAAAAAACAACCAGACTGCCACCACTCCCCCTCAAAATAGCCACCTCAGTTTGCACACACTTATCCATCCTTCTTGCCACTTTCAGAAGCAGTTCTAGAAGTCCTCTTTGGTGAGTGCCTTTATAAGGTGTGATCAAAGATACAGCAGTGAATGCTGCTGTCGAGTGCCGTCCAACAGAGAGGCAGGCTCATAAAAGCATTACAGCGTGTCCTCATCCACCTTGTTCACCAGATGTGGCACCAGGTGACTTCTGGCTCTTCCCCAAAGTCAAAATGACCATGAAAAGTAATCTCTTTGCATCAACTCAGGACATCAAAGCAGCCACAATAATGCAAGTAAAGACACTCACAAAAGAGGATTTCCAGAGCTGCTTCAGAAGGCAGCAAGAGCCGGGCATGGTGGCACATGCCTATAATCCCAGCATTCGGGAGGCTGAAGCTGGAGGATCACTGTGAGTTCAAGGCCAATCTGGGCTACATAACGAGATCTTACCTCAAAAAAAAAAAAAAAAAAGTAGCAAGAACAATGGGACAAGTGTGTTTGAAACAAGCAGGGGGGAATAAATGGCAATATGTCTTTTACTGTAGTAACTTTTTAAAATTTATACATTCAACATATGCTTTGATCACTTTGCTTTTTTAATCAGATTTTATTGGTACATTTTAGATATACATTATGATCACATTCATCGTGGAGAATCTGCACCTGTACATGATATAATTTGTCTTTTTTTCCCAGTCCCCTACCCGCCCTTCAACCCCACCTGCCTTCCCCATTTACAGAAGCTTTGTTTCCGTGTTTTCCTTCTTTTCTCATTTTTTACTTTTCCCTTCTATCCTTTCTCCCTCCCCTCTCCCTTGTTACCCTCACAATCACACTTTGGATACACTTCATTCCCTTCTAGGGTTAAATACTATTCCAGTGTATGTACACACACATTTGTTTATATGACTGTTATAAATAACACTGCTGTAACATTTGTGCACAAGTATCTGTGTTAATGCATGTTCTCAGTTTCTCTGTATATATAGCCAGGAGTGTAAATGCTGGGTCATAGGACAATTCCCTTTAAACTTTTTTTTCTTTTTGTGGTGCTGGGGATTGAACCCAGGGCCTTGCACATACTAAGCACACGCTCTTTTGTTCTATCCTGAGCTCCACAGTAGTCCTTGGGGTTAAACTATTGTGTGTTCCTACCATAGCAACAATGCATGAGGGTCCTGTTTCTACACATCTTTGCCAACATTTATTTTCCTTTTTTTTACTACAGCCATTCAAGTATGAAGAGTTACTGTGTAGCTGGGGATATAGCTCAGGCGCACAGTGCCTGCGTGAAGCATGAAGCTGTGAGTTTGATTCCTGGTATTAAAAACAAACAAACAAAAAAGGGTTACTGTGTTTTGGTTATGACTTGCATTCTGTGGTGACCAATGATGCTGAACATTTTTTCATGTGCTCATTAACATTTGTATATCTTTGGAAAAATGTCTATTTAAATTCTCTGCCCTTAGCCGGGCATGGTGGCACATGCCTGTAATCTCAGCACTCAGGAGGCTGAGGCAGGAGGATCCCTGAGAGTTCGAGACCAGCCTGGGCTACAAAGTGAGCTCAAGCCCAGCCTGAACTGTCTCAAAAGGACAAAAAAAAATTCCTTGCCCATTTTTCAGTTTTCTTCTTATTGCTGAATTATAAGAATTCTTTATAAAATTTTCATACTACACTAAGATCACGAATAACTTTTAAAGGTAGGCAAGTCTCAAATTTCATTAATCTCATTCTGTAAGGAGAAAACAAGAAAAAAAGTTGAAACTTCTCCAACGGGAGCAAAGCAAGAATTCTACCTTTGAATTTCAAGCTTTATAATTGGGTCTTGAGCCAAACAAAATACCCCAAAAGCACATAAATGTATTTATCAAATGCAGATAGCTTGCATCCTGTTGGTTTATCTAAGACTTACTGCCTAATTTTTGCCTAGGCAACGGTGGTTAATAGATTATTTGCTTCCTAAGTGTTAATGGAGCTTGAGCTATTTTTATATCTGATGAAGAGGTTTGTGATTCTACATATCAACCCAAATTGCCTCGCTTAATGAAAGTCATTTAAAGAACAATCAGCCTTAAAAGTGTCAAGGAAGGCTAAGTGCAAGGCTTATCACCCCAGCTGCTCTAACCCACGGCACAACCTGTCACTCTAGAAGAGGCATGCAAAGCCCCCCAGAGACTCCAGGGTATACAGCGGGGAACTGTTCCCCTGGTAACAGTTAATATTTTGTGACTCTTTACTCTGCTATGGGCTTTTTTTTTAAGACACAGTCCTGTGTTGGAGTCAAGCTGGCCTAGAATTCCCCACTTAAGCCAGGCTGGCCTTGAACTCTGAACCCTCCTGTTTCAGCTGCCCAAGTGCTGGGATTGCAGGCTTTTGGGTCACTATACTCGCACTACATTCTTCATGCACTTTACAGACGCTGTTTTAGAGTAGTCCTATTAACATCCACATTTTACAGATGAAGAAACTGAGGCACTGACAAATTAAGCCACTCTCCTAAGGTAACACTGCTAGGAAGGAATAAAATAAAAATTCAAACTCAAATACAGCAGTAGGGTGCCAAAGCCTGCACTTCTGATCAGTGCATCACCTTCCTGGTAACAGTTGCCCAGAGGTGTCTGGAACAACAGGACCACCACCCACAGGCAAATCCTCCTGCACTTCAGCAAAACTCACACAATGAATGGGTCTAATCGCCACATTCACCCTGGAATAGAGCAATCTCAAAATTCTATGGAAAAAAATTTTTAAGGTACTTGGGAATGAGCCTAGGGTCTCTCTGCACTGAGCTACACTCCCAGCCCTCTTTTCTTTTATTTTGAGACACACTCTTACTGAGTCACTAACTTGCCCAAACTGGGCTCAAACTTGTGATCCTCCTGCCTCAGTCTCCCAGAGTTCTGGGATTATCAGCATGTACCACAATGCCCAGTTGATAAATGTGATTTTAATAACTTCCTTTTCTAAAACCTAACACCAAAAGCATGATCCATAAGAGAAAAAAGTTGATAAACTGAATGATCAAAATTAAAAATCTGGGGCTGGGGATTTAGCTCAGCGGCACAGCCCCTGCCTGGCAAGCGCAAGGTCGTAAGTTCGATTCCTGGTACTGGGAAAAACAAAAAACAAAACAAAAAAAAATTAAAAATCTGTGCTTTAAAAAACACCATTAAGAAAATGAAAAGACAAGCAATAGAGAAAAATATTTTGAATAAAAATATTTATAAATTATACATCTGATAAATATAAATATATTAAAATGTCTTAAGATTCAATAATAAAAAGATAATCTAATTTTAAAATGAAATGATGTGAGTACATATTTTATCAAAGAAAAGAGATATATAATCACTAATAGACATGCAAAGATGCTTGACATTATTAGACATTAAGGGAATGCAAATCAAATCAGCATGAGTTATCACTTCACACCCACTGGAGTGACTATAATCAGAAAGAAAAACAATAAATGCTGATAAGGAAACAGAACAGCTGAGTGGTTTCTCAGCTATGTAAAATATAAATGTGAAATGGTACAGCCACTTTAGAAAACTGTTCAGTAGTTATGCAGAAGTTAAACATAAATTGACAGTGCAACCAGCCATCTCACTCCTGTGCTCTACCTGAAGACAAGAAAATAAAGGTCTACACAAAGACTTGAAAGGAATTTCACAGCTAGACTATTCACAGTAGCCAAAAGTAAAGCAATCCAAATGTTCAACCTTGAATGGATAAATAAATGTATAACCATAC